CTCTGTGTGCTGGTCAAGGATTGAGAGGACCTGCCACTTAGGCAGGGTCGAATACTGAGCCTGATCCGTGTGAACATCGCTTGCCTTCACATGTCAGAAAACACCTTCACGACCAAAACAAAAGTCTGTCTTCAGAAGTTCATAAGTTTGCCTCCTGCTCCTACAAGTACCTACCAGGCCGAATTAGCAGCAAACGAAGAAGCCACATGAAGCAACAGAGAAGCCATAGCAGCCACAAGCTCGGCAATCCAATAAAGGTGTGGAGCTTGACATCAGTACATAGAGGCCACAGGCACAACATCACAGCCATCCTTCGTTCCTATGCCACAAAGACCTGAAAGACCTTTCGAGCCCAAGACGCCACGAATCGATATGAAGAACGCTGAATACTAGACTGGACCCTGCTTTGCAGATCCACCTCCTGGCGAAGAATCTTGCCTCGGCACAAACCGTGCATCAGGGTGGTCAAACACGGCTTGACGCCACCTGACGTCTTCAAATCCGCTCCCCGAGGCAACTGTCACCGGAGCCGTGCCTCTGAAACAAACGAAAGCATCCAGACAAGTGAAGCAAAGCTGCGAATCTCCATCACGGAGTAGCGCACGAGCGAGTGCATAATGATGGGCTCGCGCTTGAAGAAAGTCCCCAAGCTCGAGCAAAACTCCAGGTATGACACTTCACCAGAGCCATCCTCGTCCAAGACGTAGAAGATGGATTCTAAATCGTTTCGCGTGATATCCATGACATCCATCAGCTTCTGGAAATCGTTCACCCTGTCATAACCCTTCAAAAGCTCTTGATAGGAGATCATGCCATTTGCATTGATGTCCATCCCCGCGCAAAGCAGGACCAGATCCTCCATGCTCCTGCTGCGCTCGGCTTCCTTTTGCTGGACTTTCTTGGCATGATCGTTCTCCCGCGCCTCTGCTGCCCTTTCGACAATGACCTGCCCAGGAAGCAGCAAGATTCTTTACAAGGATCCTCTGATCTGCCACCACGAATGCCTGTCGCTACTTCAAGCGACACGAAACACGTACGTTATTGTGAAGCATCGTCGATTTAGGGAGTTGTGCTGTCTGCCTGGCTCTAGCAATCTGTGAACCTGACAAGGACCACGAACAATCAATGTGACTGCCAACATGCAGGTAAGTGTGGGGCAACATCACGGCAGTAACCCTGAACCCAAGCCTAGGCCGGCGTTCTTAATGGATTCGAGACTTTTTGGATGCTCGTGGGGGGGGGGGGGGACGACTGAGTCCCTGGCCGCGAGGATCAAGTTCATCAGTCCCACGGAAATAGTCAACATGATCGCGAAGAGGAGGATTGCAGTTCCAGGAGCGCGCTCCTGGGGTCACATGCACCCTCTATGACATGTGACATATGCGTGCACCACACCTCCTGGGTGTCACTTCGAAGCCGTCGCACCCAGCGACAAAAGACAAATGCCTGCTAACCCCTCACCCCCACCCCCTACCCCCCCCTGCAGTGCGGCAGTACTACTTACTGGTGGTGGGGCGGCTGTTCCGGCGCTCTAGTTTTTGAAAAATTCTGACGTTGTTCGGTTAAGTCATCATACACGATCTTGAGGTCTATCTAGGTGGGACCTTCTTAGATTCTAGCTGTTTCATCAGCGGCGATCCCCACAACAGCTTGTCGATCAGAACCGCGGGACCTCACGAAGTGCACATGGGTCAGCAGACGTCAGCAGTATTGAATACGCCAAACCGGCAACGATCACCCAAACCTGTTGCTGGGCAAGGCCGACTACGACACAATCTTCGGCAGCCAGCGGTGCGGTCAGACACTGCCAGCCCAGGTCATGCTGCCTAGCGTCGACAAGCGGAATGGAGATGGCGCCCCAAGAATCTCCAGCAACTATCTGCTGGAAAATTGTCACAGAAGCAGAAAAGATATCAGCAAAACCTCTTGAGCATCGTTCGCACGTCCCCGGAAAGTCAATCACAGAAGCAATAGGGTGTAGCATCTCCACAGACACCACGGCCCAAACCAGAATCATGACAATAAGCATGATGGCACCAAAAATGATGGCTTTCAGTGATGAATATAGACCGCCGATTAGCATGTACAGCTCCGGCACGGAAATGAAAAGTCGCACTGCTTTCCTGGGTCTCTCCAAACTCAGCGCTGTTTCAACTGCTGCCCACCCTAATTCTTTATTTAACTTGCAAGGCCTGAAACTCGAGCCTTACCTGTCGTGCTTTCTTGCTCCGAGGCTCAGTACACGAGCTATCCTTGACAACCTGAGCAGGCTCAAATTCACTGTATCTGCCAGTGCCAGCTGAAGGCAGCCAAGGAGGACTGTCGTGAGGTCCACCACGTTCCAGGAACTACACAGGAAACTGGCTCGTTCCACATAGATTCGAGCCATGCACTCCGACACGTAGACCACCTCAGCCGAAGGTGCAAGAACAGATCGCACCTGCAGGAGATCTTCCAGTCTGCTTGACTTTATCCGCAAAGGTGTCAAGACGTTGCACTCCAAGGGGCGATGAAAGCAATCTCCACGATTCCAAGCCAAAGTATGGAGGAACTGCGAGTTGGACACTCGAAGTACTTGTCGGCATAATGTGGGTAGCACGTTGCGTCCGCATCTGCCTGGCCGGACATGATGTCGGCCGGCAAAAAACACTACACGCCTCCTGCTCCAAAGCCTGTCCCAGCTACTATCTTCGGAAGCATTGGGGCACTCGGAATAGAAGACTTTCTCAACAGCTGCTCAACACGATGAGAACTCGTAAGCGGGGTGTGACCCACAAAGGTTTGCTAATGCACCTTGGCTCACACGGCTCGCCAGTTACATAGTCACAGTCGTATCTTACCACTTCAAACTCTTTCGATGTGAGCACCTCTAAAACCCGAGCCACATCTACACATGTGCAGACTGTGCAGCAGGCAGGAAGCTTCTTCTAAGCTGTGGCTGAAATGGCATGATCGCCGCGGCGACGGATGGCATCGCTACTCCCGCCCAAACACGCGAGGCCATACCCTGCCTCTATCAGGATAATTGCGAAGTTGAGCCTTGGTCTGCTGTGACAGTGAACTTCTGAGAACCTTGACCCCATAAGCCCATAAGTAAGAAGCTCTCCGGCTCAGGCAAGCAGCAAGACAACGAGACCGATGAAAATCTCAAAGTTGTGAGAGAAAAGGAGCCTCGGGTCGGAAAACGTGTGCGGACCGAGAGATGGGGTGTTTCACATGGGTTCTCATTGGTTTTGGAGCCTCTGCGCTTCTAGCTTTCTTGCGGGACAAACTCCCGTAGTTAGAAAATCTGTTGCCGACTTGTGCAGATGACTCATCCGGTCTCAAGATCTTCGTCGCCCCAAGCCTACTTACTTACTCGTGGTGTCCGATATGTCCGGACCTTGACACATCCCCGTCTCGCCCGCAGGCTTGTGATAGCCTGGGTTCAGTGCAAAGTCCATGCAACATGCCTGCTTTCTTCACAACGAAGAGCTGGAAATATGAACCACTGCTATCGACGACAAGACAAGAACCAGTCGGCTACTTTGGCTAGCCGACACGAAACACGATGACCCTCACCGCCTCCCGTAAAGCATTGAAAAAACCATATTGTTTGCGTAACTGGCTTGCTACTGCCTCTATACCACTCTACGCGGCTCTATGCAGCGGCGACGGCAGTATGCACACAGCAACTTCCGACATTTCTTCATCTCTTCGAAAGCTTGCAGACAGCAACTGTGCAGTTCGGATCCTGCTTGGAGACCATATTTCATTGCCGGCTTCCTCATATGCACAACTCAGCTGCGCTACCAGCTACCAAGAACGCCGGGCGGGGTATGTGCCCCCTTGGGCAAGGAGACGGAATGATCGTCGTGGGTGCGCACCAGTCGATACATGTAGGCAATGGGCACCCTGCAGCACACGAATCACAACCAAGATGGCTTCCGAATGAGAGTGACTGCCTGGCATCAGAAAATCACCCATCAGGACTAGAATGACAGCGAAAACAATGCCAACAAGAGTAGAAGCAATGAGGACTCCAATTGCAAGCACCGGTGGCAGAAGCATCCGAGTCAGTGGCGAAAAGAAAAGGAGACAAACATAAATGTCATCGCGGACATGGTGCCCGTAACAACCTGCAAAGCCTTCGGAGAAAAAAACTATAAGCAGCAGAGCATACCAAGAGTTAGCACTACCTGTACTCTTTGCATAGGAGGAGTCGTCCAACCAGGGCTTTTTGGCAACCAGTCCTCAGCGAACATCGAATGAGTTGCTTGACAAGCCCATATGCACATTAACCAAGGAAGACTATGTTGCGGCTGGTCGGGGCCCTGTGGCGTGTTGCCCGAAGCCTTGGACCTCTCTCCCTCTACAGACGACTGAGGCAGGGACCGTGCCGGAGATTCTGCAGCTCACGGAGGGTGTTGTCAACGTGCGCCTTTTTGGAGCCTTGGAGGAGCAGAGCAAATCCCCGTCGCAAGCAGCCCAAAGACCCTTCTGACATCCCTGTGTCTCACGGCGTCTCACGAACAGAACACACAAGACTTGCACACAATGCCCTGCGGGGCATTATTTCCAAGCTAGGGGCCATCCATTTCCACGACCTGCTTCTTCTTGCTCCCCTGGTTGGTCTGCGCCATGGCTGTCAATCTATTCATGGCTCAGGGGTCAAATGTCTCTTGTGTCCGCGTCGCTGGGCTTGCCGTGCGCTGCAAAGCGGCACGGTCCGAGCAGTGTCGGCCATTCAAGTTTATGAATGCTTATGTGTTGCCTCTGCTGCTGCTACTGCTGATACGGCCGCTATGGTGTCTTCTGCTATCCCGGTTCAGACGATGTACATGTCCGGCCATGGCTTGTCTTGGATCCAACACCTGCTTAGGTGGCCGGCCAGGCAATGGCAATGCAAAAGAGCAGAGTAGCATAGGAAGCTGTCCCAAAGCCGTGCTTCCACCGTCGTCAGCTGCACCACTGGCTGCCACTGTCAGTTGCCCTTTCATGGCTATCGTCAGTCAGGAGGCGCTTCAGCATGGCGACCTGCGAGCGCACCATGCCCATACCTGCATTTGCGGGTTCGTAACACTTCCGGAATATGGCTGATGGCTCAAACTTTGCTTCTGTCCATGCCCGGCTAGAGCCGCCCAGGGTTCTGCTAGCACCGTGGACCTTGCCTGACACTGTCGTGGGTTCATGCTGGGCTTTTAGGCAAAACCTACCAGACAAAACGCGAAGACTGCGGCACCAAGCAACTCTCAACATCCTTCGGTGCAGTCCAGCCGCCCATCCCATCACGCAGAGGCGCTGTCGGGATGTACCAAACGGTTTTGCTCTCCTGATGCAGCGGCTTCGAATCGCGTAAACTGCCAAAATCTGCAAGCAGCACTGACACTAAGGCGGGACATCACTACAGCTACAACCAACCACCCCACTAAGACGATGAATACGGCAACAGCCACCACCACCACCACCACCACCACCACCACCACCACCACCACCACCACCACCACCTGCTACTGCCGATGGTGCTGCTGCTGGACTGCTAGTAGTAACGCCACGGCTGCCGCTTCTGCAGGCACTGCCTGCTGCTACAGACACCTCTGCGACCCGCAATGGCGACTACATTCAAGCCCTTCCCACTAGAAACGAGAAGCCCTTGTCTTAGAACGTGCTCCCGATGGCTTCCCCAAGCTTGTTATCACAGAGTTTGCGCAATACTCCAATCTGCGATGTGTCACCCGGGCCTGGTTTGGTTCCCAAGGACCCAAACCACACGTGGGCTAGCCAGTGGACACCATCCGAAAACCTTTCACCCCAAATGACAGGAGGTTGGGTTCGGCATAACTTCGAGTTTCCGGCTGCTCTCCCAGAAGACGCCGGAACTCATCCTCGCGCTTGGGCCGGCTTGGGGTTGCAGGTCGGGCTCCTTCAAGAGTTTTAGGCGCCAGCAATGGGTAATGCAGGGCCAGAGTCTGGGTAACACTCCATCAGGCCCCGCCCAAGCTATGAACCCGAAAGTATCAAGAAGAAGCGGTCCCGCAGAGCTCTTGTGGAAAGCCCATCGCCTCAGCTTTACTTCTTCGTACCGGACTAGGGGTGAACCTCCCATGCGCCCTCTGATTATGAAACCTGCACTTAGGCAGGCCAAGAATGGCAACTTGAAGCTCTGAGTCAGTGCTGCCGTAGTAATCTACATGACGCGCCAACAGCACACGCACAACCTCGGATCGCGGGGCAGAAGATGAAATCCACCCAGATCCTGACTCTACTCACAGCAAGATCGAGTCCTGTAGATGCATGGTCTCATGGTTGTGTCGTTTCATCTTAAAATCCTAAAACACTGAGTTCAGGCTGAACATTGTGCAGGTCTTCCCGTCTTCCCGCGAAAGTCAGATTTGCAAACTGCTCCTGGCGAATCAGGTTCAAGCCCCCCCTCCCCCGAATGCCCACTGCCACACTGCGCTCGGCTGGACTCGATGAGCCGAGTGGTCTTCAACTCGGTGAAAGGATTAAGACTGAAGTTGCTCGACGGCAAGTTGCAATACCTGCCGCTGCTTAGAACAAGACCCGCTCGAAGCAAAGCGGCTCGTCAGCAGCAGCCGGCGGGTTGGCGGCATTGGACAGCTTGAGAAGCCACTGGAGAACCTGGAATGAATTGGCATGCAGGCCCGGACGAGTGCGCCACGAATGCTGGAGACATGTGAATGCTTGTTCGGCAGCGCGTCCGTAGAATACCCTGGCTTATGTGCAACGGAAGAGCTATCTTTGACCGTGAGTGCGACGAGCTGACCCAAGTTGCAGCTTGGCAGCACCAGCAAGATGCCGGCGGCCAGGGCGGCCAGTGCTGATTGCATCAAAGCTCAAGCCATCACATGGTTGGCATTGCTGGATTGCTCCCTAGCATGCTGGTTGTAGTCGGAATGCTGCTCAAGCTGCACTTGGAGTCCACAGCCAGAGTGTACGTCCGTGGTGCGATATGAGTCTTAGCCTTTGAATCTCGGCTGGTGTCGGGCCACCGAGGAGCAGCAACGGGCTTCCACAAAGAGTCTGGATATTCTCACAAATGATTGAGGATCGGGCAGGATGCTAAGCTGCACATGTCAAGAATTTGTCAAAGCTGCAGTCCCATCGACCCGGCCGAAACAGTCAATGTAACACGGGTGTAACACCCGGCTGCGTCCTGCTAAGCCCCCGCCCAGCGGCCTAGCACAAATTAAACTGCTGTGTCTGAGCCTCACGCGCTCGCGCATGCGTGCCACTGCGCTGTGTCTCTCCGAGTTGCCACCCCGGCGTGAGGGCCTCGCAAGGTCCAGCCCGAACGATATGGTAACGATTTTCGCTTACGTTTGTTCCTACTGTTGGTATTGCTGCAAGTCCACTTATTCTAAGTCCTGCTACAGACAATGAGAAGTCGTTCTTGATCCTGCTGATGTCTGCGATGAAAAGGTCTATTGTAGCGATTGGCTGTCACGTCTGTCAACATCAACCCCCTCCTTCTACCATCAACCGGGCGCTCCCAATAAAAACTCGGAAAGCGCTCATATCATCTTAGACACGGCATGCCTTTTAATCTCGTCTACTGTCACGTTGGCGAGAATCTTGCTCTTGCTCCTGCTCTTACTGCACCCCCCAATTCAAGAATAGGTTTTAAAAGGAGGTGATGACTTCAGTGGGATTTCCCGGAAAATAGACTCATCATTAGGGGTGTGATGAATGAAAAGGGGAAAGTAATTGCCAGAACGTGGTGTTCATCTTCGTTGAACTTTCGTCATCATGCTTACACTTCCGGCTACGTTGCTTTGTCGTTGTAGAATAACTAAGGCTCGAGCCATGGCGGAGCCATGCACGTGGCCATGACCTTAAAGGAGGGTTCATCTCAGCCCGTCTTCCCCCAGTCCTGACGCAAATATGCTTGCTCCGAGGCGAACGCCACAGCTGGCCTGAGTTTGGCCAGGACTAACGACGACAACTATTCGCGCTGTTTGAGCCAGCAGCATCCCGCCACGTGAACGACAGATCATGGGCCATGGGAGCAAGTGTAGGGCACGGCTCGTGCAGGCCTTAAGCCGGAACATCGCAGGCTGAAAAACAACCAGGCGTGGTTGCCCGTTTTGGGCGACAGGCTGAACGAAGATGGGAACTTACTTGGACCCAACTGATTCGAGCATCCGAAGTTCCCGAAAGCCAGGTTCCCGGTTGACCTTGGGCAAAGCGATAGCTCCTGAACACCTCTCTTGCATTCTGCTGCCGTCGACCAAATTTTTTACGACACAACCCCAGAACAACTCCCGGGCAAGCCTTTTTCCTATCTTCTAACGCCGCCCTAAATTTAGGGCTTACGCTCTCACACTCGGACTCGCCATGTGAGGTCTCTCGGATCGCAATAAATTTAGGGTTTAGAGTTTCCTAAACCCTAAACCCTAAGTCGTGAAGAAGTAGGAGAGGTCAGGGGAGCGTTCGATGCGTTTGATGGCCTTGTGGTGGTATTACTTACACAAAAATATGTGTGTAAGCATGCTCACGCCCCAACAACCCCCCCCCCCCCCCCCCCCTGATCCCGCCGAGCCTGCTTCCCTGCTCGGTGCTGCGGCCCCAGAACCCACATGCCCTTCATTTCCCGTCATAACTCCAACGCATGCTCAACCCCACCATGTTCAAGGTTTCAAGGCAACCACGGTCAGTTGATGGTTCTGAGAGCTCACGCCATAAATTGTCAAACCCAAGATTCGCGAGAGGTACCGCGGATAGGGGGCTACTCCACTAAATCAAGGAAACTGGCCAGAAAAGAGATTCGCGAGTGCTACCGCTGGGGCCTAATTACCCCACAAAAAAGAAAGGAAAAAACACCAGAACAAATTCGCGAGCACTACCGCTGGGCACCTACGCACTCAAGGAAAGAAAAGTCTCCAGAATAAATTCGCGAGCGCTACCGCTGAGGGGCAACCCCGCGTTGTATGTGGAAATTGGCCCTGTGACAGCACCCGTTTCCAGCTTATCGTTTCTATTTCTTATGGCCACGGGCCCTATCACAGTGCCCATCGCTTGACCTACAACCCCTGAGCATCGCCGTCATATGCCGTCATGGTCCAGTGCGGTTAGCTTTCCGGGGTGACGCCAGTACCGCCGACCCCGCATCCCCGAGCATCATCGGGACCCTGTGTTTCCCTTCCAAGAGCTGTGCGAGGGCATCGGGGGTTTTTGGAAGCAATATGAAGCCGCGGGAGCGCATCATGAGCATCAGGGGCACCCTTTCGGGCGCCCAGGGAAGGCTTGGGCCGTCTTTGGGATTTTGTCGTGAAGTGGAATTTCGCAGTCTGCAGGGTGGTACAACACGAAAGCCTGACTAAAGCCTGTACATAGGACAAATGAAGCACTGATCTTGTCGATGTGCTCCCGTACCTGTCTGTGGGGCTACCCTCAGCCGGTTTCAATGGCCCCAAAGCATGAAAGGAAACACCAACGGTGACCATCATGCAGCTGATGCTTGCGAACGGAGCGTGCGCCCGGGCGGAGGGGGGGGGGGGGCTCGGAGCATTCAAGGCTATATAAGGCCTAGAGTTCGTGCCCTGCCGGCCATGCCAGCCCGTGCCGCCAGGCCCATACAAATGGTAGTCTTGCTGTGGATTCTGGAGCTGCTGGGGAAGTGGCAGTCGCATATGTTGAGACGCCGTTACGGGGACTTGGCTGAGTATGTCAAGCATAGCATCTGGCTTACCTGCTTGGGCGAAGGTTGCTTGGGCCCTTGAATCCCATTGACTGCTTGGCAAATCGATGACAAGGCCATCTTTGAGCCCGCCGAGGAAAATCATGCAGGCTTGGTGCTGCAGTTAGGCTCTGCTTGGGCTTGGGCCCTTGAGATCATCGTGAGGCCACACTCTCAAGCAGATTATGGGTCTGTTTCACCCGTGCCCACCAGGCCGCCCCGGCCCAAGCCGGAAAAGAGCAACTTTGACTAAGGCAGGGCCGAGGCCTCAGCCGCCCCGGCTTGCAGCCGCTGCCAGGGCCCTGCAGCTTCTGAGGTGCCAGTGCCACGGACAAAGTCCGCAGCAGCCGACGCCAGCGCACGATGCGCCTGTTCACAGTTCATGCTCGTATTGGCCTGGCTTGCGTTTTCCTTTAGGCCAAGGAGAATTCTTGCTTACCGTGCAGCAGCAGGACAGCTCAAGGGTCATTCAGGCGACAGAAGATGTCAAGAGTACGTGCCCAGGGTCTGCCTTGTAACCTTTATGCTTGCGCCTGACGGATTTCCTGATTCAGACATCATGCACACTGAAAAAACTGACGCGGAAACAAGCTCTAATTCAGCTATCTCGGAGATGTTGGAAACAAGTTGGTCGGGCAACGGCTTGACAAGGGGTTGAGCAAGGAAAACTTGCTGTCACTACAAGATTACTTTAGGAGCTCTAAGCCTACACAGTTTTCCGAAGAATTTTTGCGTGTGCAAAGCCCCACTCCTGACACACATCACTCCAGCCCACAAATCAGTTCAAGATTCGACATGTGCCTCAGCCGGCTCGAACGGCCCAGCCGCCGGGATCAGAATTATTCGCAGAAGCTGCATGATGAACAGCGGGGCCTTGAGAATGCACACAGCACCAAAGCATACACTCCTCTTCTCCTCCCACAGGCGAACTCTTCGGCACAAAGCCCGAGGCAGTTGCACACGACTCTAAGACTGCAGCCCACAGCGGCGCATCGACAAAGTTACCATGACCTCGCTGGGCGAGTATGAGTTGAGTCTCCATGGGCCTTGCAAAGAGGCTCGGATGTCCGGAGATGAAGATGCCGGAAGTTTTGCACTATTCACTGTTCCATGTTCTTCTCCCAAACCCGGGTCATGGCTCTTGCCAAGCCGCTGATGCCTGTGAAGTGCCAAGCCCCAGCCCACGGACGGGCGGCCTCGATCGTGGCAGCTGCAGCTGCGACAAGGACTGCTTGAGACCAGTGGGAAAACATGTTCATGTGCTGCGACTGTCATCACTGCAAACTGTATATGCTGCCGCACCATTTGCTCGTGCCTGGGGCTCCTCTGGCTTCGAAACCTTGAGCACGTGGCTCCTGGGCTCTGAGGAGTCCACTCATGCATGGGGTCAGCACGTGTCTCAGCACGGTAGCACATTCACATCGTAGACGACAACCGGTGAATCTGCACAGTCTGGCAAAGGCTTTGTACAGTAGCTGTCATCGGCCGTAGACTTGGTGTTAACATGCGGCGGCATGCCAGCTGCATCCGTGGTACACCAGATTGGCTATGCCAGCATACTCGTCACCGACGATGGAAAATACCTCGCAGACGACAGGTCAGCACCGTTCCCGGCCATCGGCCACTTGCCAGCACTTGCTTGGCACAGGGTCATGCATCAGTGAAAGCTGTCAAATGTGAAAGGTGTAGAGCTTACTGTATGAGGGCTTAGGTAAAATGGGACTCTTTCTTCAGAAGAGGCCCGCCCCCAACTGGTTCTTTCGCGGCACCGGCTGCTGCAACTTCGGCATCTCCGAGCTCAGCGCAGGGTCGTGGAGCACCTGAACCAATGCAAGTGCGGGAGAGCGGCACACCAATCCCTACCTCACAGCTGCAGTTCCGCATCATGGTCCCAATGGCAGATACTAGTCTGTTTCAGAACTGTAGCAGCTGTAGCAGTAGATGGTCATGGGTTAGTGTTGCAATGTTCAATCTCAGTCTCGCAATTCGAGGAAGCCTGTCAACCCCCGAAACCCTCTGATGCTTCGCGACGTCAAGGCCGAGCCACCAAGCCCTGGAAAAGGGTCGGCTCAGCATAAGCTGAGAGGATGGCTGTGGGGCCCCCATAACCTCAGGGTCTCTGTGGAGAGTTCCAGCCGCCACGGCCCGAAA